GTGCCTAAGGAAAGTGACCAGGAGAAATCACCCAAGATTTTACAGAGAGCAGTGTGGTCAAGCAATGGCTGTGACTCTTCTAGGTGGCTGACACTGACAGAAGAGCCATGAGATGCTAGGCATGCTTCTAAGATAACTCCTGAGTAGACCTAAGTGACCTTCATAGGTAATAAGGACCCGATTTTAATTAATGTAGGTCTCATGTTAGCTTGGTCTTGAACCTCCTGCAGAAAAATCTGGCTTCTGGAGATACAGTGCCATGTAAAATGTTGGCTGTGGGAGAATCTCAGATCACTAACATCCTCTGATAATTGCTGTCTATGCTGGTAACTGACTGCTGTTATGAACTGATGGACTATGATGAGTTTAAATTGGAGTTCTCCTCAAACCTTCCCCATCTTGAGCTGGCCACCAATCCTGGGAACCAACAAAACAAATAATGAGATAGATGTTGGAAAGCGTTGACACTGAATACATGTGTAGGGGTGTGGACTGGCCTGGGCATGATTGAATTGAGAATGAGGAGACACCTCAAGTAACAAGATAGGCCACTGCTGAGGCCACCTGGAGACTTTCTAGATAGTTTTCCTTAATTAGCATCATCTGTTCTTCTGAGGGTTCCTTGATCCTCTCCCAGGAGCCTGCTCAGGTTTCCTCCATTATCCATTCAATTCCTTGCTTCTTCTGATTAAATACACGCTGACTGGTGACAGTTGGCTTGCCTACTAGCAGCGTTATGAGCTCTGAAGAGGATTTTACTCTTCATGCTGCCCTCAAGAGAATGCCCCTTGTCTCCTTCTTTTGGTCCTTTGCTGTGCAAGTTTGGGTATTTGAGATTTAGGCATAGGCCCCAACAGAAAATTGACTTTCAGATAGGATAAGTGTAAGTTTCCTGAAAAGATTAATGCATGTAAACTTTTCTGTACCTGAAGATAGAAGTGTTATGCTACTTATCAACAAAACATATTGCTACCCGATCAATATATTGCTACCATATCAACATATATTCATTGTTAACATATTGAGAGATATTATATTGATTTGTCAGAGGGCATGATCATGCAACTTTTCACATCATTATGAATATTGTGCATAAATTTCTCTAAGCCAGTACTTCCAAGTGAAATTGGTAGATGATACAGTAGGCACCCATCAATTTGTTAAGTAGTATGTAACATGAGTCTAGGTGTTTCTAGCAGTTGATTTGTTTCAACCATGAATGCATCACCAGAGGCCTGTTCTGCCTGGTGGGCAGAGAATGGGTTCTACAGGAAATTAGTGGTTTTCACCTGCAAAAAATTTCTGGAGTCAAACTGAAATAGATACATGATAAAAAACTGTCAGGGCATTCATAGATTAAAAACTCATTTACATAAATAGTTGAAGAATGAGTTGATACATTTGGAAGATTATTTAGGACATACACCTTGCTGAATTATATTAGATATTTATTTCTTTACTTTTATACAGGTATAAAATATCTGTCCTACAGAATTTAATAAAAATATATTATTTTATGTCATTGTTTGTATGAGGGAAGTGTGGTTTTGACTGTTTCCAATACAGAAATATCTTGGAACATAGAAGTGAAAAGAAAAAGGTTTTTTTTTTGTTGTTGTTGGTTTTTTGTTTTTTGTTTTTTGTTTTTTTTTTTTTAGGTCAGGAAGCCAGAGAAGAGTAAAGGAGCCTGAGAGGAAGGACCCAGGGACCAGATTTGGTTCATGGGTTCCAACTCACATGGCTGCAATGTATACATAAATAAGTGATTATACTAATATCCTACACATCTCTGATGCCAAATAAGTTGTTAACAAATGGATCACATGGCTTTAGGGAATATATGCGCTCTAGGGCTATTAAAATCCTAAAGAGCAGAGTGACAATTTGTAACAAGAGAACTATAGGGCAAGGGGGACTTTGAGTTTTAAGTTCTTAGGTGTCCCTGCCCCATCAGAAGGAAATGTTTAATTGGATTAGGAATTTGGTTCTTTTTCAGCAATAATTGTGCCCCCCCATGCGTGGCAATATGATCACTTTCAGAATTCAGGATTTTTATGAGTCTGAATGAGTAGCAAGCTTGTCTTAGAGAATTCATGTTTGCATTCCTTTCATGTTTACTCTCTTGCAGACTATTAGTATCATTTAAATGTAATGTCTTCAATTCACACAGTAACTGCGCTCCTTTTGTGTTCACAAACTGGCTTTCTAGTTGGAAAATTAATAGAGATAAGAGTGAAAATTTTGAAAATGAAGTCTGATGCCTCTCACACAGCCTTTCCACTCTCTATTCTGTTGTGTCCTACCCTGGCCTGGGCTCAGAATGTTTTCTGACATAGGGGCATTTTTTCATTCCTGGATGATTGAACCTAAATCTTGAAAACATTTGCAGCCCATTATGGAAACAGTCCATTGAGTCCTGAAAGAAACAAGGGGTATCCATAAAACGGCAGGGTTAAACAAGAAATTTAAAGAAGACCTAGCACCACTACTTCTCAAACTTTTTAATGAAATAGAATGGAAGTGGTACTTCCCAATTCATTCCTGGAAGCAAGCATGACCCTAATACAAAACCAGAGAAGAATGCAAATAAGAAAAAGAATTACAGGCCATTCTGCCTAATGAATATTGAAGCAAAAATCCTCAATAAGATACTGGCAAACAGACTGCAGAATATCATCAAGAAGATTGTACACCATGATCAAGTCAAATTTTTCCCTGGGAAGCAGGGGTGGTTCAACATACATAAATCCATATTTATAATATGCCGTATTGACAAATCCAAAGGCAAAAATCACTTGATCATTTCAATAGATGCAGAAAAAGATTTTGACAAAGTCCAGCACTAATTCGTAATAAATACCCTACAAAAATTGGGAGAGATGATGTTTATCTCAATCTGATAAAAGCCTTTTATGACAAACCAACAGTCAACTACATACCAATTGGACAAAAACCAAAAGCTTTCACTCTAAATTTAGGAATGAAACAAGCATGTCCACTGTCTCCACTCTTATTCAACACAGACCTGGAAACTAGCTGGAGCAATTAGACAAGAGACAAAAAAGGAATAAAGATAGGAAAGGAAAATCTTAAACTATCATTATTTGCAGAAGACACGATCCTCTTCTTAGAAGACCCTAAAAATTCCACCAAAATACTTCTAGTTTATTAAGCAAGTTCAGTAATGTAGCTGGTTACAAAGTCAACACTCAACAATCAAAAGACTTCATATACAAGAATAAAAAACTCGTTGAAGAGAAATCAAGGAAACAACTTTTACAATAGCATCCAACAAAACGAAATACTTACGAATCAATCTAACAAAGGACATATACGACCTCTACACTAAAAACAACATTAATCTCAAAAAGGAGATTGAAGTAGATATTATAAAATGGAGAGCTATCCCATAGTCTTGGGCAGGAAAATTCAATTTAGTTAAAAATGGCCATACTTACAAATCTATTGTAGACATTCAGCGCATTGCCAATAAAAGCACCAATGGCATATCTCAAAGAATTACACAAAATAAATCCTAAAATTCATCTGGAACCAGAAGAGACCTAGAATAGGAAAGGTGATCCTGTGAAACAAAGAAAAGAATGGGTTCATCAAAATTCCTGACTTGAAATTATACTATATTCTGTGATTAAAAAAAAGGTGTGGTACTGACAAAAAACAAAACAAAACACAACCAGACCCAAAGATCAGAGGAACAAATTAGAAGATGGAGAAACAAACCCAGACACACTAAACCATCTTATCTTTGACAAAGGTGCCAAACACTGTCACTGGAAGACAGACAGCCTCTTTACAAATGGTGCTGGAAAAACTGGTTCTACACATGCTGAATATTAAAAGTGGACCCATATCTGTCAACGTGTATTAAGCTAAGATCAGAATAGATCAAAGATCTTACATTAAAGCAGACATATTAAATCTGCTGCAAGATACAGTAAGTAAAACTGTTGAAGACATTGATGTAAGCAAAGACTTAGGAGAAAGAAGGAAACATGGATTGAACAGGAACAATCACAGAGAATCAAGTGGGATCTCACCCGACTGAAAAGCTTTTTAACAGCAAGAGAGACCACAGAGTGAAGAGACAACCCACAAAGTGGGAGAAAATGTTTGCCAGCTGTTTCTCAGATAAAGGAGTACTACTGAGAACACGGAAAACTCAAACAATTCAGTTTTCCCAGATTTAAAGACCCAATCCAAAAATGTGCATCTGAGATGAAGTACACAGTTCTCAGATGAAGAAATAGAAACAGCAAATAAATATGTGACAAAACGTTCTACATCATTGGTCATTTAACAGATGCAAATTAAAACAACACTGAGATTTCACCTTGCCATAGGAAAAAAATGCCTACTGTCATGAAATCAAGCAATAACCAATGCTGGAGGGGGAGTGGTGGGAAAAGGATCCTTTCTCCACTGTTGGTGGTAATGCAGCCACTGTGGAAATCAGTGTGGAGATTCTGCACTAACTAGGTCTACAGGTCTCACTCAACTCAGCTATTCCCCTTCTGGGTATCTGCCTGAAAAAATAAAAAACATCATACCACAGTGATATATTTGCACCCATGTTTATAGCAGCACAGTTTGTGGTAGCCAGATCTTGGATGGAATGCATGACCTTGAGCTTCCCAGGCAGGCACTTATGCTGCTGAGCTAAAACCCTGGACCGCACTTTTTTACTTTTTATCTTTGAAATAAAATGGGTTTGGGGGAAAATACAAGAGCTGAGGTAAACGCTTTCAGTGCATATACCCATCAGATGAGCTGAGGTGAACATTCCATAATACAGCCAGCTCCAGAAGTCTCCATGATCTTTCTTTGGAGATCTACAGTTACAGGGTGGGGTTTTTTTCTGTAATTATTCTTGGTGGGGAAGACAGACAGGAGAGCAGGAGCCAATCTGTGATGTAGAGGCGGGCTGTATGAACTGTCCAATCAGGCAGGCCAAGGTAGGCGGTCTTTTCCGGTGTCATGGCGTCAAAACAGGGAAAGCTAGATCTTTGCTAGACCACGTTTTGTGGCTTCTATTCGCTGTGGACTGCTTTCAAAGAACCTGGGAGACCTCCGAGCTACGCAATGGTGATGTTGTGGGATGGGAGCAGTGAAATCGGGTAGAATCAGGTTGAGACCAGTTAGAAGTGGTGAGAAGCAGCTGTGCTTTCTAGAGCCTACATGCTTAGCCTCAGACCATGTGGTCCTCTAGGGCTAGCAGTGAGTCATCTTCTGTCCCTTTTACCTCTTGCTGGGGCCAGGACAGTTCTGGGTCCCTAGACCACTGTCATCACTGTGACATCACCAGGCCACAATGCCAGTTTTGAAATCACCTGATGCCCTTGCTCCTCCAACAGGCTGGGCCCAGGAAGGGGGATGGGGGGGCCCTGATTCCGATGTGGATTTGAGTTGGGTGCAGCTGTAATAAGCTAGGTCTCTGCTCTCATTCCTGTTAGCAACAGATCTGGAAGCCAGAACTTTATAAATGTTTGTGATGCAGGACCTCATAATCACAACAGCCCTTCTTAAACTTATGCTTTTATGTATTTTACAGTGATTGCCTAAATTTATACTATGTACTCGTATTTGCATGCTCATGAAAGGTGGTGGCAAAGGTCCTGAGAAGTCAAAGATGTGTAGTGATGTGCCTCAGTGAAAGAAGGCTTCCTAACCACCTGGTAAATTCCTGTTCATCATACAGAGCAATGCAAATGAGTTTCTGAACACATTTAATTATTTAGGTGTTACCTAAATTTAAGGCATTTACATGGACATGTGCCATTTACATGGCATTTACATGTGATATTCTTCTGAATGGAAAAGAATAGGGTGTCATCTCTGAATTAACAGCTGATTTAATAGCTTGGCTAATAATAGACATTGTTTAAATATGGAAATGCTCTGCAATGGACTTTAATAAGTGGTGGAAAAGAGAAGCCCTAAATAGAAATCATTCAGGGATATTAATAGTTAGGCATGAAGGGTTTTCTGCTTAGGTTGAATCAGAGCAGCATGGAAAGGATGTGGAAGTGACTGGCCAGATGCAGGGTGCCAGTAGCAGGACTTACAGCAGTAAGAATTTTCACTGAAAATCAATTAGTTGTTAGAGTAAGCATGAAGTTAAAGTTGGGTTCTGATTTCTTCCTTGAGGTGAATAACATCAGCTCTGGTAACAATCAAAATTCCTCATCCCTGTCCACCCATGAATTCTGTGTTCCATACTTGAGATCTGATTTTGATTATCTGTAATTATGCCTCAGTGTCATGAAGGTGAAATTTGAAATTTTTTATACTAGGGATCGAACTCATGACCTCATGCTTGCCAGATAGGTGTTCATTCCCCTGAGCTAAATACCCAGCCATGAAAGTGCTTTCTGCATACCATGGAAGATATCAACATTGTTCCTCAGAAGGTGTTGAATATTGTGGAAATTTTCTATATTATATGGCTATAATTTTTGAAGCATACCAAACATGTTGTATGCAGTCACTTTTCAAATTTAACATTGTCTGTGTGGTGTCTCAGTCAGGTTTTTTCTCTTTCAGACAGTTCTGTAACTTATCCTAGCTCCAAACTCAAGGCAGTTGTCCTGCATCAGCCTCCCAAGATATTTTTCTTATATCTGAATGAAAAGTGATCACTTGGTGACACTGAGCTATATATATAGTTTGCAGCTTTGGCCTGCTTTCATTGTTTGTACATTTTTTACATACAGCTGTTTTCCACTAACATTTGAGTTACTATTTATGTACCATATTTGATGTTATTTGTGTTTTGTTCTATGAAAGCAAATTCAAATATCAACATGCTGCATAAGTATATTACAGACAGTTCACTTTCATAAAACAGAAGAAACATTTAAAGGCAGGGATAAAGCCCATCAATGCAAGTATCCCTTGAGAGGTGAGATCAACATTGTAGAACACAAGCTACTACTGATTTCTCTGAGCTCAAGAAAGAGAAAAATTTATGCTGATATTGCTATAGGGGAATGAGACGCCTGAACTATTAGGTGTGGTATGAGTTTGTGTTCTCTGAAGAAAAAAAATGAATTTTAGGAACAACGGAAGTCAAGAAAATATACTTACTGGGAGAAAGAAAGCTGTCTGAGAGAGAGAATGGGTGCTGAGCAGGTTGGCAAAGACTGTCCATTCTAGGGACCTTTATAGAGTAAAATCATGTGGTGAGATGAGTTTAATATGGGTAAAGCTAGGAACTCACAATGTAGGTGGCCATAAGATGGGACAGTTCTACCATAGCCAATAAGATTAATAGTTTAGGTAAAGTTGATTACATTAGGAACAAATTTGGAAAGGAGTCACATAGAAATCATGCAGTTTAGGCAGCTGTGACTCTTCCCTTAGGTCTTTGGGAGGGTGACTTCTGCCTTCTCAGGATGATAGGAAGTATTTAGAATGTCAGTCTTTAGGATAAGGATACATTTCTTTGAATGGTGACTCCTGAATTCCTCAGAGTGCTAGGGAACTATTTAGAATATCTATCTTTATGATATTGATGAATTTGCTTCTTCTATTGTCTTGAGCCTTGGCCCATAGCATGAGGTATCTTTCTTCCCCATAATTGCAAGGTATCTGGGATTCTGCATTGTCTCCTTGGAGGAACTAGTGCTGTCTCATTACCAATAAGATTTAAATAACCCAGCTTCCTGTAACTGTATGGTTTGGAAAATTGATTATGGATGTCTTGTGCTCTGGGTGAATGATCTGGGTATGACAGTGTGCAATGAATATACCAGTGCTACACCCTGATAGACATGTTTTGAAATTTTCTTTTACTTTATTTTTTCTTTTTATCCTTGAGATAAAATGGGTTTGGAAATAACAAGCCTAAGGTAAAGCTTTTTCCTCTGTGGAGCTGAGTTCAAGACTTTAGAAAAATGGCAGCTCTAGAAGTTTCTGCACTGCCGTCTATCACTTGGGATCATGTCTTGCAGGGTGGTGTTCCTTTCTCTGTTTACTCTTGACTTAGAATGAGGGCAGTAGAGCAAGAGTCAATCAGTGATGAAGAGGTGGGCTCTATGAACTGTCCAATCAGGCAGGCCATGGCTGGCTGTGTCTTCTGTCTCTTCAGGTGTCTCGGAACAAATTACCTATTCTCTGTACAATACTTGTAGCAAAATGCTTGCTGGATCCCATTTAGTGGTTTTGAAGTCCTTTGGCCTGATTAGCAAAGAATCTGAGAGACTCAGCTATGAAATTGTTTTCTGCGTAGTATGGAAGATGTCACCACTGTTCCTCAGAAAGTGTTGAATATTGCTGGAATTTTTCTATATTGTAAGACTATAATTTTTTAGAACAAACCAAGGATGTCTTATGCAGTCACTTTTCATGTTTCACTTTGTCTGTGGGGTGTCTCAGTCAGGGTTTCTCTATTTTAGACAGCTATGTAACTTAGAATAGCCCCAAACTCAAGGAAGTACTCCTGCACCAGCCTCCCAAGATACATTTCTTATATCTAATGGAAAGTGATCACTTGGTGACACTGAGCTATAATTTGCAGCTTGGGTCTGGTTTCATTGTCTATACATTATTTACATACAGCTGTTTTCCACTAACATTTGAGTTATTATTCATATACCATATTTGATATTATTTATGTTTTTTTCTATGAAACCAAATTCATATTTCAAAATGTTGCTAAGTATATTAAGTACAAAAGACTCAGTGGCCTAAATGAGATTTGAAGACACATCTGTAGTCTATCAAAGTGATTGATGAGATATTTATCTGCCTCTGTGCTTTGTGGATGCTGGTCCTGCAGGCTCCATTGTGAGCTGTGCTTTAGAGACATTTCACAGTGCTCCTGTTTGACTGTTACATTAGCTGTGAGTTGCAATATAGCATCAGATTTGCTGTCTCCAAAAATGTGTATATACACAAAATTAATGACCAAGACATGGATTGAAATTTGAGGAATTCAGTCTCCATTGTTTGCTTTTCTTTATTTGGATTAGTTTTGTTTTATTGAGACAAGTATTCTGTATATATATATCAGCTGGATTTATCTCCTAATGGTGCTAGAATTGCCCTGACCTCACAGCTGCTCTCCTGTCTCAGTGTTTTTTTAAAATTTATTTAAAGAAAGGGAAATAAAAAATACATCGATTTAAAAAAAGGGTAGAAATAAAACAAAATTATAGAAAAATAAATGGTAAGAAATCGCCGGTTGATAAGTTACATATTGTCATCTTAGAAACAGCCATTCAGGTTACAAAGTTAAAGTATTTAAAATGACATTCAAAAAGTGACACTGCAAACAGTGCTGCTCAGTGATCGAACAAAAACTCAGTAATATGGTTATGAGTCCTACACACTTGTTTTACATCTCAAAGAGGGTAAGGTTAAACATATCAAAACAGAACAAAACAGTTAAAAAACAATTTACAGAAATACAGATTTCAAAGCAAGTCCACTGGAGATATTCACTGTTTATGTGTCTCTAGATTCTTGCAAATTGTTGTCCCCATCTTCACCCACATTATATAATATTGCATATTATAGAACTTATCAAATCATTACAGGATGATGAAGACTTTTTAGCTCTCCAAGATCTAACATTGGGGAAGACAATAATAACTACCATTGCATCTCTCATTCTCTTCGTGGTAGCTGTCCCCATCTTTACATATGCTGAAATTGAACTTAAGAGACTAGACTAATATCATTCTGATCAGTGAATAATAGTATTGCTAGAATTTATATCATAATGCTACAAAATTAGCATTGGGTTACTTAGTGTCTCTTTTTCAGAGTATCTATCTGTTCATTACATCTTGCATTATTTAATCTGTTCCCGTAAATAATTTCTTTTAAAAAAACTCATCTGTGAATTTCTACATATGTATCTACCCTCATTGTATTATAGGGAAAAACAAGTATAAGAAGACAGCAAAACAATTTCTGAGAAAAACATGCAATGGATAAGACATATAAGATGACAGTATAGGTGATCTTCCGTAGTTACTGTGTTTTCTCTTGTTATTTTCAATAGATTTGTCCACATCATTGGCTTAATATAGTTAAACACAGTATTACCTATTTTTATAAAAACCACAACTTTGAAAGCATTGTAGGATTTGAGAGCTGTTAATAATTAATACCAGTATGGATATCCTTTACCTCTTTTCATCTTCAGAGTAGTTGCCTCTACTTTTAGGGTTGATTCTAACAAGCATACCAAATTCAAATAAAATCAGCCAAGACAAACCCATGGTCTTATGAATCTGATTCAGTTAAGATCAGTCATAGTAAGAAAATGTAAGTAATACAGGATTTCAGTTTAAGTTAATAGGAAAGTAAGGACAGTTACCATGGTATAACCTGCTATTTTTGGGTCAGATGTCTGTGCCCTCAAATCTGACATGAGTGGACAGACCAGAGCAAATTAAATTCAAACTAATTATGGTGATAAGACTATTATGTCTTTTAAATCCTGATACACTATTAACAATGACCTCTGCCTTTTTTATAGTGTTTCAGAGCTGTCTATACTAAAGACTACAGCTTACCATCTCTGCCTCATGTCTGCAACTCCACTTTACTGTTATAATTTGTCCACCTTATTCCCTCATTCTGCTGTCTGCCCCATTCATCGAGGCCTCTCTGCCATTGTTGCTGGAATCCTGGTGTCCCTTCCTCTCTTTCTCTGGAATGTCCTTCAGCACTCTCTGTAGGGTTGGATTGGTGGCCACGAATGCCAATTCCTCCTTGTCTTGGAAGCATCTTATTTTGCCATTAATTTTGAGAGAGAGTTTTGATGGGTATATGAATCTTGGTTGCATAGTATTTTCTTTCAGGATTTGGAATATTTCTCCCCATTCCCTTCTTGACTTTAGAGTTTGTGTGGATGAATCTGTTATTATTTTGATAATTTTTCCATTTGTAGATAATCTTCTTTTCTCTGGCTGCTGTTAATATTCTGTTCTTTTCATGGATTTCTGGAATCTTGATTATTATATATCTAGGCGTAGATCTGTTTTGGTTGTAGGTAGCTAGTGTTCTGCATGCCTCTTTTATCTGGATATCCTGGATATCATTTCTTTTTGCTATACATGGGAAATTTTGCTTTAATATATCTGTGAATATTCTTTGTATTTCATTTTTGGTTGCTCCTGCTTCCTCACTCACATTCTTTATTCTTAATGTATGTATCCTTTTGTCATCCTCTAGCCTTTGAATTGTTTCTTTCTGGTTCCTCGTTATTTTTAAGAGGTTGTTTCTTTCATGATCATGTGTCATAAATCTCTCTTCAAGTTTCAGAAGGCTGGATTTAGTTTCTGTCAGGGTATTGTGCCAGTGTTCAATGGAGTTTTTAGTTTCCTGGTAATCTCTTTGGATCTGTTTCCTGTATTCAAAGTTATGTTAATTCTTCTTCAGAATTTTCTCTTTGTTTTCTGATTTCCTCAGTTCTTCCATCTGTGTTCTCTTGGGTAGGCCTTGTCATTTCTTTAATTAATGTCTTTATATCTTGCCTTACTTGGTCAGGACTACAGCTTTAAATTCATCTATGATGTCATGGAGGTATTTTTTAATTTTGCCTGATGCTGTGTCCAGTATTGGATAGTTACTGTGCTTGTTCTCTTCTCTTACTTCTCCTGGGCTTCTTTTCTCATGTTGGGCAGCTGAAGATTTTTTTATTTTTATTTTTATCTCTTGTCATGTTTCTGGTTTCTTTCAGACTGGAGTGTCCTTGGGGTCTCTGGCCCTCTCCGTATTGCTTAGGGACTTTCAGAAGTGTGCTGATTGAGTTTTTGTTGTCCTCCCCAATTTTCTGTTATCTGGGGTAGGCAGGGATGGAGGGAAGGTGCAGGCTAGCCTCCAAATTCTGTGCCAGTCAATCCATAAATTAGGCTGTACTTTCTGGATGTCACAGAGTTGTGACTATTTTTTATCTGCTTATTGGGCCCCAAGCAGAGGCTTGGTTCAGCCCCAGCAGATCCTGCCAGTTCTGTCTGTGCCAGAAGCAGCTGACTAATGTCACCATGACACAGGGTTCTGCCCAAATCCCAGCTGTTCTCTTCCAGACCTCTCTGGGCCAGGAGCACCAGGAGAACGGGTCTGCTGAATTCCAAGATGTCTTCCACTAGTTCTCTATAGGATGCTGAAGCCAACACAGTGCCAGACTCTGCCCAATTTCAAGATGTTCTCCACCAGACCTCTCTATGCTAGGGGCAACTCAGTGATGTCACTGAGCCGCCCAACTCTAAGATGTCTTCTGCCAGACTTTCTGTTTTATTGATGTCACCGTGGTGGCAGGCTCTGCCCAGTTCCAAGATGTTCTCTGGCCAATCACAGCAGCTGTGGACCCAGTGCCCAGTACTCACCAGGGCTTGGTGAAGGTCTTCCTCTTGAGTCTACTGCTCACCACACCGCTTGCCCTCACTGCACTCCTGGCACAGCATGGAATGGTCAGAAAACTGCACAGCGTTCAGCTTTAAGCTCCAGAGCCTTTCACATTCTCCTTTAGTGCAGCCAGGCAGTCCTGGCTGCTTTGCAGGGACCTCGGTCTCAATTTCCAGCAGTCACCAAAAGCCAAAACAGCTTTTCCTGTTGGGTCCACTGGTCAGTTTGCCGCATTAAAGGTGCAGGATTTGCAGCCTCCCGTTACCAGCCTTTGCGGTCTCAGCACGACTTTAAATCCTCCAGCTGCACTGTCTTGGTTAATAAGAATCATTATCCATTCATCTGGCCCTCTCCATGTTGTCATATTCTAGCATCTAATATAATTTCTCCAGAGAGACTCTCTGCCCAATCCCCTAGCAAGCCACCATTTTTGGAACTCTTCTGTCTCAGTGTTTTTAGTGCTGGGATTATAGATATTCACCACCATACTTAGCTTTTGATCCAGATTTGTATGAGAGATTTCAAGATATCCCAGACCTGGGGTCTCAACCTTCTTTTGAGAAATCCATGTATGACCCTTTAGGAGTGGTTGACCTTTGAGGATGTGGCTGTCAACTTCAGCAGTGAGGAGTGGACTTTATTGAGGCCATTCCAAAAGAAGCTCTACAGAGATGTGATGGGGGAAACCGTTAGGAACATGGCTGCTATAGGTAAGGATGACATCTCTTTGTCACTCATGCTATCAGAATATTGGTTTTTTTTTTTGTCTTTTTCATTTTTATCAATACCAAGGATCGAACTCATGACCGCCTGTTTGCAATGCAGGTGCTTATGCTGCTGAGCTAAATCCCCAGCCCCTAGAATATTGTTTATTGCTCATCAGAGCTGCTTCTTTAAAAAGAATCAGAAAATATTCTCAAAAATAGAACAGACCTGGTCACACTATATCATAAATCTAATCAAAATCTATTAATTTGTATGTATTACTATAATGAGTCCTGTATTTCTATGTCTACAATTCAGGAGGACTTGGGGATGATCGAGAAGCTGAAAAAGAATGCAAAATTTACTGGAGATACTTAAGGTAATTCACACTTACAAGGAGAAGGGATGTTCCTAAGTGATTAGTGAGTCAGCAGAAATATAACAGCCAAAGAAATGAAGCATTTGAGTGTTCATGTTTCCAAGTCATGCTCTAGAGAATCTGTACATTTTGCTTAAAATTCTTAGTAGGTTGGTGGAATGTTAAGTGCACTCATTCTGAATATCAGTATGCAGTTGTCTGTAGAAGTTGATCCTCTCGTACTTCTCCTCAAAATATTTTCAAAAAAAATCCACATAAAATATTGATACATGCTTATTCATATTCAATGCAGATTGTTATAATGGATGAGACCTTGAAGCAACTTGGCTATCTGTCACTGGATTTGTGGAGAAGTACAATGTTAGTAGACTCTGTGTGATTGTGCATTCTTATAAACCCAGCAGGACCCTAGGAATCAAATTTTGCACAATGACAAATTCAAGATCAAACTCCACAGCTTAATGATCAGTGAAAATCTCTTAAAATAAATAAAAAGGTAGAGATTTTGCGCTAATACCTGTTGTTCATTCTGAGCATGGAAAAGAAAAAAATGTGTTACATAAAAAGTGAAAAAGTAAATAATATACTGTCATTTGCCATAAGAAATAGGTGGGTCTTCTCACATCAATTCATTGAAATAGCTCAGCTATAAAATGTGAAAGGTCATAGGGTTTCTGTTAGATAAGAAACCAGAATATAAATTGTGCAGTGAAATGAAAGAGAGTTTATAGAGAAAGGTACGCCTGACTGTTTGGGGAGGGAAACTACAGGTTAAGTTCAGAAGGGAAATTGTGATGGAGAAACATATCAAAATGATCAGTATGTGATATACATATGTACCCATGCCCAAAGTGAAACTAAATATTCTGCATTTCAAAACACATCAACCTTTTTTTGGTCTTTTTCTTTTTTATTGGTCCCTGGGATCGAACTCATGACTGCCTGCTTGCAAGGCAGTCATGCCGCTGAGCTAAATCCTCAGCCCCAAAAAAGTACCAAATTTAAGATTCCCAAATGTGTAACAGTCTTTTGAGAATGATTGTTTTCAACATATTTGATAAGGCATTCCATTGATTCATTGTCAGAATTTCTTGGCAGGCATCAAAACAGAACTTGTCATTAATGTAGTCATTAACACAGAGACCCATTTCACTGATTTTTTTCTTCTTTTTAATTTTATTTAAAAAAGACTAAACAAAACAGAAAATGGGTAGAAATAATACTACTTTCAAAGTGAAAATAAACAGTAAAAAATCACTAGTCAATTATTACATATGTTGCTCATAGAAATAGTCAAGATACAAAAGTGAAACATATGAAGTCGGGATTCAAACAGTGAGACTGCAAACAGTTTTGTTCAACTATCCAACAATAATTTAGAAATATGATCATCAATCCTATACATAATTTTTTTTCCTTACAGAAATGACAAGCTAGGGAAATCTTATGGACATATGTATTGGAATCAGTGTAAAGAAGTATTTCTTTGTACCGCAGAAGGTAATGTGAGTATGAAAGAAACAGAAACAAAACACCATGTTCAGATCCATGAAAAATATTGCAATGGAGGGAAACATAATTTATTTAAGCAATGCAGGAAAGGTTTTACTACATATGGAATATGTAAGAAACTTAAAATAATTCACAGTGGAGAGAGACTGTACATATGTAAGCAATGTGGGAAAGCTTTTACCCATCGTGGACATTGTAAGCGACATGAAAGAATTCACACTGGAGAGAAACCCTATGTATGTAAGCAGTGTGGGAAAGCTTTTACCACATGTGAATCTTGCAAGGATCATGAAAGAATTCACAGTGGAGAGAAACCCTATGTATGTAAACAATGTGGGAAAGCTTTTACCACACGTAGACAGCATAAGAAACATGAAAGCATTCACACTGGAGAGAAACCCTATGTATGTAAGCAATGTGGGAAAGCTTTTACCTTACGTGAAAATTGTAAGATACATGAAATTATTCACACTGGAGAGAAACCCTATGTATGTAAGCAATGTGGGAAAGCTTTTACCACACATGGAAATTGTAAGAGACATGAAACAATTCACACTGGAGAGAAACCTTATGTATGCAAGCAATGTGGGAAAGCTTTTACCACACATGGAGTTTGTAAGCAACATGAAAGAATTCACACTGGAGAGAAACCGTATGTATGTAAGCACTGTAGGAAAACTTTTACCACACATGATCAGTGTAAGCAGCATGAAAGAATTCACTCTGGAGAAAGACCCTATGTATGTAAGCTATGTGGGAAAGCTTTTACCACACATGGAAATTGTAAGAAACATGAAATTATTCATACTGGAGAGAAACCCTATGTATGTAAGCAATGTGGGAAAGCTTTTACCACACGTGGAGAGTGTAAGAAACATGAAACAATTCACACTGGAGAGAAACCCTATGTATGTAAGCAATGTGGGAAAGCTTTTACCTCACATGGAGGTTGTAAGCAACATGAAAGAATTCACTCTGGAGAAAGACCCTATATATGTAAGCTATGTGGGAAAGCTTTTACCACACATGGAAATTGTAAGAAACATGAAATTATTCATACTGGAGAGAAACCCTATGTATGTAAGCAATGTGGGAAAGCTTTTACCACACATAAACAGTGTAAGAAACACGAAAGTATTCACACTGGAGTGAAACCCTATGTATGTAAGCAGTGTGGGAAAGCTTTTACCCAACGTGAAAATTGTACAAAACATGAAAGAATTCACAATGATGAGAATCCTTATAAATGTAAGCCATGTGGGAAAGCTTTTACCCAATACAGACATTGTAAGCCAGATGAAAATTTACAGTCAAGATAAACCCAGTGCATATAAGCATCATGAGAATGGTTTGAGCACAAGAACATTTTGGATAATGCATGAAAACCTTCACACTGGGCAGAAAACTTATATGTAAGGAAATTGGGAACATTTCAGCAGAAATGCTCTTTGTCCAATACATGAAAAAATTCACACTGTTGATTATCCCTATGTATGTAAAGAATGTGGAAAAGCTTTCACCACACATGGATACTGTAAAGTACATCAATGACTTCACACTGTTGAGAAACCCTACGTATATAAGCAATGTGGCAAAGCTTTTACCACATACAGACATTGTAAAACACATGAAAGTAATCATACTGGGGCGAACCACTGGCTATGTAAGCAAGGCGAGAAACTTTGAGCAGCCAGATTGAAAGTGAAATATATGAAGAAACTCACTGGAAATGAATCCTGTCTTTTATGGGATTACTCTCAGCACACATGATGATTGTTAGATATCTGAAAGAGCTCACTGGGTAGAGATCCTATGTGGATTTGCAATGTGAGAAATGCATCAGTCCATATTTGTTGTTAAACATTTAGAAAAAGCGTCACTGCTTAGACTGTTTAGATCCAAGTTTACTTTTAAAATCACAAGGAGACCTGAAGAAATAATCAATACTGAAATTTGATGTCAATATTTCTTCACAAATTTTCCAGAAACTTCAAATCTGAGGTGGAGCTCTCTTCAAGTACACATGTTGCATGGTTTTCAGTTAATCACATGTACCTCTCTAGATTTTTTAAAGTGTCTTTGTGTTTCAACATGGCATCTTGTAATTAAACATGGTAAACCTAAATGTGCTTTTCACTTTCAAGTATGATTAGTGTCCATGTACTTAATGTTTTGTCTTTAATACTTATTTTTTATATTTTTTGGTGAATTGTAATGTTTTTTATTGAAACAGAAAAATGGAAAAATAGAGTAGAAATAATACAGAATTTCATAAAAATAAACAATAAGAAATCACTAGTTGATAAGTGACACATTGTCATCTTAGAAATAGTTGTTCAAGGTACAAAATTAAAGCATACAAAGTGACATTCAAATAATGACACTGCAAACAGTTCTGCTCAGTGATCCAACAAATCTTAGTAATATGCTTATCTGTCATACACACTGATTTTTTATCTTAAAGAGGGTAAGATTAAATGACAAAACAGAACAGAACAGTTCATAAAAAAACAAGTTAAGGAAACACAGATTTCAAAGCAAGTCCACTGGAGATGTTCACTGTCTGTCTTATTGTCTCTAGTGTTCTTCCAAATAGTTGTTCCCATCTTTAAATGCATTGAATTTATACTAAATATATGTACTAATCAATCAAAATATATATACTAATCAAACAAGTACAGGATGATAAAGGCTTTTTTGGTCTTCAAGACCTGATTTTGGGAAAGTCCATAATGGCTACCATAATGTCTCTCATTCTCTTTGAAGTAGATGTCTTTATCTTTACATATACTGAAATTGAACATAAGAGATTAGACTAATATCACTCTAAACAGTGAATAATAGTATCCTGAGAAGGGGAAAGGTGAGGAATTGCCTAAAAAAAGAAGGCAGAGGAAATTGTTAAATGTGTATCAGGATTTAAAAGCTACAGTAGTGTTATTGCTCTGTTTATATTCTTTGCGGCCTGTCTACTCATATTAGATTTGAGGGCACAGACAGATTACCCAAAAATAGCAGGTTATACCATGGTAACTATCCTTAATTTCCTATTAACTTAAACTGAAACTCTGTATTATTTACTTTGTCTTACTATGACTGGTCTTATTTTAAGCTGGTTTGTTTGAATACTATTTTGCCTTGACTGATTGTCTTAACATTTGGTATGCTTGCTAATATCAAGTCTAAGAGTAGAGGCAACTACTCTGAAGATGGCAAGATGTAAAAGATATCCATTCCAGTTTTGATTATTAACTGCTTTCAAGCCCTACAATGTCTTCAAAGTTGTATTTTTATAAAAATAGCTATGTAACACTATGCTTAACTAATAATGCCTGATGATGTAAAAATCTGATTGAAAATAACAAGAGAAAGCATAGTAACTACAGTGGTTCACCTAATATTGTAGTCTTATATATCTTTTTTATATCATGTTTTTCTAGGAATTTGTTTTGTCTTTTTTTGATCTGTTTTTCCCCATAACACAAAAAAGATAGATATACATGTAAAGATGCACACATGGGAAGAAATTCTAAACTGTTTATTGGAACAAATTATATAATTCATGATGTAATGAACAGATACTCTGAAGAAGAGACACTAAGAAACCCAGTGCTAATTCTGTATCATTATGTCACAAAATCAAGCAAAACTATTGTTCACTGTTCAGAGTGTTATTAGTCTGGTCTATTTTTTGGTGAATTGTAATTTTAACACTGCGTTTGTTTTAGTCTTTTAATACACATGTTTAATTTTCTCTTTCATAAATGATGTTCGTGAAGTTGATGCAACATTTGGCATTAAGATATACATTTATTGAGGATTGGAGCATTTGTTTTTGATGAAGTTGTATTCTTTTCACATAACTTGTACATTAATGAAGTTATGTTTTCCATGTTGTGATGAGATACCTGCTGATTTCCTAACATCACTAGATATCATACCACGTACATTATGTTGCCTGATTTTCTTTCTCACTGGATCCAATATTTGTCATTTAAGTAAACCCTTGTTTTTCTAACCATCAGAATTTTACCTGTTATATTTATATTACATCTTTACTTTGCGATTGTTTTCTTCACATGTACCAAAAGTAAACCATGCCACTGTGAATTTCTGATTGCCCCAGACTGACAGAAACATAACTTGTCTCCAAAAGCATATCACAAAATATATTAATAACTCCAGAAATTATAACATCAGGTATGATTTATGAGTAACCATACTTTGAAAGGAATTTTTCTTAAATGTGGAATTGCCTTGGGAAAAAAGTTGTTATTGAATGTCTCATGCAAATGCCTTTATTGTATTCCTTGATGTTGCAAATGCATTATATATTCTTTAATTATTAGTACTTTTTCCTAAAACACTGAAATAATGGTATGAAGGGAAACCTGAATTTTGAGGTGTCACACGGTAAAAAGTAAATTTGCTAAATTAAGATTCAGACTGTGTTGTGTTTTACTGCATGGTGAATTCATACAATGGCATGTCTTTTTATTCATAAAGACCACTGTCTCATGTTTGTGGTGTGTGCTGATTATCTTTAGACATATACACTGGGCCATGAGTCCCAGTTGGTTTCCTATGGTCTGTGGTTTTCACTTCCACTTTAGTATTCATGTACTCTGTAAAGTGTTTATTGCAGTGTTGTTGAATAAAAAATCTGCTTAGCTTCCAATGGAATGATGTTGTTAAAAACTGTGGTGTCATGAAAACACAAGAGAGCACTGCATTAAATACCCCTAATCCAGTGTAAATAGCTTGCCCAAGTTTCAATTATCCTTAAACACATAAATTGCTTACCTGTTGTGTACTCACCAGTAAAACCCTATCTATTTCGAACCTGAATATCTTTCACAAAGCAAAAGACACTGAAAAGTGCATTGTCAGGTGCTTTGCACTACAGCATGAAGCCAGATTCCCTGCAGCACATTTCTGCTTACCATCAACAGGAAAATTTGGAGTTTGTATTTCTATTTCAGTTAATAACAGAAAAGTGAATCTATAAGACACATATGTTGAGCACTTTCTCATTTTACCATGAAAGTAAATCTTGGTGTTCCTATTGATGCATGCTTGTACTCCTAGTACCTCTGAGGGCTTAAATTAGTGGAAGAGAAAGTTGAGACCAGCCTAAACAAGTTAGTGTGAGCCAGTCTCAAAATACATCCTCAGGTTCTACAGATGTAGCTTAGTGCTTTAGTATTCCTCTCTTACCTCCCCAGTGTCAACATTTTTTAATACTCTCAATTACACATCAGTAGTTTTTCCCTTATCACTTGTCCACCTCGCAGTTTTCCCTGAGCATCAATTGAGAAGCACATTTGTTAATGCAGTGATCATCCTGAGCATCATTGGAGCACTTGTCAATCTAACCCATTCATTCTTTTATTGAATACAGTAGAATTGTAACTTTATATTCCTTCTTATTTTATAAAAACTAACAAAAGTATGCAATTTTTTGATCATCTTATATTTAAATAATTGCATTGGTAAGGAGCTACACATAAAGATTAATTTAATGTAATTTCTTTAGTCCCAGCACCAGGAGAGAATAAGATGGGACAATAATGGCTTTGAAGCTGACTTTGGCAGGCAACTGCTGGATGATTTAGCAGGTGGTTTTATACCTGCATTTGAAGTTTAAGGAAAGAAGTAAGTTAAGGTCAAGAATATAAATGTGCCATCGATCCAAAGAATCACTACTGCAATTTGTGATTTTTCGTTCACTCAGGAAATATACTTTTTATAGTAATTTGTGCAGCAATCTCAAATATGCCTCTATTAGAGTAAAATGTAGTGAAACATGAAAGAGCCAGGCATTTCATGTTCTGAATGTAGAGTTATTAAAAATCCTTTTTCTTAATGCTATTGCTCTGTTTTGTGTAGAAAATAAGATAGGGTGACAAAACAAGCAAAAAGGACTTTGTAAGATTTTAATCCTCCTGCATAAACATAGAATCCACAAAAAAGTCAATCCAAAAGGATGAAGAAATAAACTGAAGAATGAGAGAGATTTTGCTCCTTACTCCCTGATAGCTAACACGTAAAACCAATAAGAACATGAGATGAATATACATTTTTCAAAATAGGTACAAATTGCCAAGAAATACCTGAATAACTATTGAGCATTTTTGCACAATAGAGAAATGCAAATAGGGACATCATCTCATTGCAGAGGAAGCAAATCACCACAAGATCTAAGGAACTTTCCTAAGACTGCAGGAGAAAAGGAAATATTTAACCTTTTTGGTGGAAATGTAGGTAAGTAGTTCCACTACTACTGAAGTCAGTTTTTTAAAGTGTTCAAAAAACTAAAATTAGTGATTCTCATCAATGCAGTGCTCCCTTTAGTGGATCTCTTCTCCAAAGATTTAAAGACGTATTGCAGTGATTCATGCAGATTCCTGTTTAGTGAAGCAATAGTCAATTTTCCTGGGAAGAGCAGCAGCAAGCACTGTTCCATCATCAACAAATACCAATGATGAACAATAAATACTCGTGAGTGTACTCCATTTAATAAATGGGGTACTTTATTGTGAAATGTGTTAGGTTTTCCAAGTAGCTATATGTCAGTATAAGCATGATAGTCATGCTAATGTCACAAGGCTATCACTAGTACCCTACTGTGTTCATAAAATATATTTATCTTTTTGAGACAGCATCTCGCTATGCAATTCAGGCTGGCTTTGAGATCACTTTATAACCCGGAGTGGTGTCAAACAATTCCCCTTCCTCAGGGTCTCAAGTACTGGGCTCCACCTAATTGCTACCAGGTGTAGTTTAGATTTGGTATATTATATGCATATTCAGTATATTTTATTTCAGCTGTTTTTGTTGTTAAAGTATTTCCACTTTGTACCTCCAGCCTCTGTAGAAACTTTGGCCTTGTTGAGGTGGTGATGTGCATACCACCAGCCTTGTGACATTCTCTTTGGGTTCAGTGCTGTCAGTGTACTGCAGTGAAACATAGGTGTACATAACTGTTTCTTTTTCTACTTCCTTAGAAAGATTTTTAAAATTTCCTTGGATATTCAGAGGGTCAACACCCTCTCTATAGTTTCATGCAAATGCCTACAGTTACGTATTGTGTAGGACACACAGAAACATGTCGCACAGTTGCGGTGAGTG